AGACGCGAAAAATTATTGAAATATCTATTGCTCCAAGGGTTCAGGGGATCTCGTAGTCGAGCAGTCTCGACTAGAGCTTTCTTACTTGTTTTTTTTTTTTTTTGCTGTCTGTTAACAACACAATGTGGCGTATGCGTAATAAATCAGATGATATTTTTTCCAGAGAACTTCCGTTGATTCTCTTTCAGCTCCACACGCACACGGAGGTGTAGTCAAATGCAACAATAACTGTAAATTGAGCAGAGCTGATTTATCAGCTAGCAATTGAAGCAAATATCCGGTTGGCCAATAAGCTCCCCCGAGAATCAGCTATGTAATCCATAAAGAAATACAACTAAATAAAGAAATAATAAATGTCTTTTGCATCGTTGGCAGAGAGCAAATTGTATGGAATTGAATTCAAATGGCATAAATTGTCATTGGCCAAATGAGAAAGGCAATAATTAATTGCTAAGAAGGAAAATGGCAGTTTAAATGAAATTCTGACATATTGGAATTTAGAGCCAAAAAAAAGTACAATGATTTTTGACAACTAAACTTAGCTATTAAGTGCTGCAATGACAAGGGTCAACCACAAAAATGTCAATTATAGTTGCTCCCTGGGGATCTTCCACATTAAAATGGGAGCACGGCACGTGTTAATGTCTGACAGCAAACATAGTGACAGCTGCCAGGCGAAGCCGCACGTGAGCCAAAGGAAAAACTTGCAATTGAAAATGTATTTCAAGTACTTGAGCATTGTTACAGTACAGTGAAGCCATTGGCTGGCTGGTGCTGCCTGGCTGCTTGGCTGCTTGGCTGGCTTTCTGCATAACTGCAGAGAGCCGAGTGCCAAGTCTTCGGGCAAGCACTCAATGTAAAGTCTCCTGTGGATTGCAAACATTTCGCAAAAGTTATTCAAACAATGCGAATGCAAACAATGGTCGAATGCCAGCTGAAAGGAACTAACCAAGTGCAAGGCAAGTCTAAACGGAGGCTCATTAAATTGTCTCTTAACAAGTGCTGCAGCCTGCAAGCAAGGACAAAACAAACAAGGTCGTATACGATGACTATAAAATACTCTGTTGTAAATTAAAGCTGAGCAAATGTGTAAATTAAAGTTGAAAAAATTTCAGTCTTCTTTTATACTCTATATATGTTGGTTAATTTTTTAAAGTATGTATATGTTAAATGATGTTTTCATTTATTAAATTTATAATTTATATGATCAATTTTATTAAAATTATAATTTAATGATAAAGCCCTTTATGAAAACTCTCAGACCTAAAAAATGCACTTCTTATTTAACAAACTCAATCAAAATATGTGTACTCAAAATATTCCACTAATATTTCTGCTCCTTCACCAATAAAAATAAAAAATCTGGGCTTTATGTTCTTTGTAAAATTAAACCCACGCTAAGAAAGGTATCTTCAAATATACTTGATTTTTAATTCACCTTAGACGTAATGTTCAAAAGACTAGAATGTTTTTTAAATATTTTCTGGAACTAAAAACTTTAATTTATTTGAATAATGAAACCGATATACTCTTTACGACATTTCTCACACGAGCAGAGTATACACAGAAGCTCTGAATGTGGCACAAGGAGCAACAGTTAGCACTAAAAAATGCATGTGACTTGACAGCAGCTTACGAATTCATGTAATATACGTATGTACATATATATTTGGTTGGGATATACTTACAACAACTTTAGCGAGTCGGTCTGGTTACCCGTGTTGCCGTGTTCCCAAGGTGATGAAATTAACATTTAGCTGGGCAATAGCAATGGCAAATATTGTACAAACAGTTAACTACCTCGACGAAATTCACTTATGTGCACAATTTTTTACACATTTGCATTAGCGGCACTTTTTCTTCCTCTTCGCGCACACACGCACAACAAATTGTGTTGCTATGGCACGCACACGCCTCGCAGCTCTGTTAATTGCAGAAAGCGTCTCGATACACAGTTAATTAATTGCTGCGTTTATAGTGCGCATTATTCGCGTGCGGGGCACATTCCAATTGGTATTTCACATAAACAAATCGTTTGAATGGCGCAAATGAGGTGCCCAAGCACATTCCCGTTGAAGAGACGCGCAAGAAACGGTAAACGGGCAGCAGGCGCCGCTGCCGGCCAATCGAAACTGACAGCGCGAATGGCCGAAATGACGCCAAAGTCTCAAGCAACAGAAGCAGCAGCAACAATTCGCTTAGAACCAAAAGCAACAAGCGCTGCCGCCATCACGTTGCGTCGCGCACGAACACAAAAACCGAACTGAATTGCGGGACTCCGTGACTGGCGTCAGTGGCTGACTGAATGGAGATCAGCAGGCAAGCAAACTTCTAACCGGCACGAAGCTCAGACACGAACGGACGGCTAAACTTCGGCTGCATTTGTTGCACACTCTGCGCAATAGCTAGGACTTTGGCGCCAAAAGCAAGCCAGCCAGGCAACATGTTGCTAAGCACATGTTGCGAAGCGCACCTAGAATGTTGCTGGGCAGCGCTTAACAAAAAGGCAAAGTTTATTGAATAAGCAGATCAATTTGTTATGCTGAGTATAGTTCAAAGTGAAATAAATAATGTATGCACATAATAAGAAATAAAATAATATTATACATTCAATTTAACTGCTAAATGAAGTGTGCTCATTGACTGTCCATGGCAACAATTTTATTTCGAGCTTGCTGGCAACATGTTGCAGATATTTCTTGTATATAAGCAAAATAATGTTTACGACAATTCTTTAGGCCGTTTTTTAAATCATATTCATTAGCCAGTATACCTATATAAATTACATTTTATTTTGTTTTTATCACACGCACAATCTTTCAATTTTGACATTAAAATTCCAACGCGGAAAATCGTTCAAAACTTAACAAAACGTAACCAATTAAAAAGAGAAAAAGAGAAAAAAAAAATTGAGTTGTTAACGACGCGACGCGGCGCGTCAAGGCCTGAAGGTCAAGTTTTAAAGAGCTGGACAGGGCCAATTGTCGTTAACTTTCAATAACGTGTTAATAAAAGCCTTAAACAAACTCGATTTTAATGCAATTGCAAAAACACGCAAACGAAACGCAGCAAAATTAATAAAACATATTTAGCATCGATTTTTTTCTTGTTTTTTAGTAAATTCGAATTTTATTGTCTACAAACAGTTTAACAAACAATTTAACAATTTTTATGAAAAGGCAACAAGCGAGTGCAGCTGTGTATATGTGTGAGTGTGTGTGAGTGAGCGTGCCACGGCATTTAGACTAAGTGGAAGCTGCGCCACTGCGCCATTTACTTGATCTTCTTCAGGAAGTAGCGGCTGGGCGGGCCGTAGTTGGCAGCGGGCAGACGGCCGGATGTGGGTGTGGCTGCATCTGGGTTCTGGCGCTGCTCAGAGTCCTCGACTACGATGGGCGCCATGGAGGGCTCCTCGCTGCCGGCTGCTGTGGCCGGGGGCAGATACTGATGGGCGGGCGCGGCCAGCGTGGTCTGCACCTCCTCGCCGGTGTAGGCGGGTGCTGTGGGCGGGCCATAGATGGACGAGGGCAGAGAGGCGGGCTGCTCGGGCTCCAGCTCGGGTGCGCTGGTCGTGGGCAGAACATCCGAAACATCGGCCATGGGTGAAAAGTCATCGGCGTTGGCCTGGCGTGGCTCCATCTCAGCTGGAGGTGGTCCATAGACGGGCACCTCGTCCTTCTTGGTCTTGTACTTGATGAAGTAGACCTCGGGCTTGGATGGCTTGGTGGGTGGCGGCGAGGGAATGACAATATCCTGCTCCTGGTCGGGCTTCTTGTGCAGCACATAGATCAGCGTCTTCTCCTCGTTCTGTGGTGGCGGTGGCACGATTGGCGGACGCAGCGCTGGAGCCGATGGCGCCTTGATGAACACAATCTTGTAGTGCTTCTGCTTGGGTCCCTGCTCATGGTGCACGCGTGGCTGCACGGCATCCTCCTGCTCGAAGTCCTTGGGCGGCACATGCACATAGATGTGCTTGTGCACCCGCGTCTCCTGTGGCGCATTGTTGTAGCCGCTGGCATGCTGCACGCCCGACAGGCGGTGGGCCATGTTGTATGAGTCATCATAGGCGTTCAGTGGCTCTGCGGCGGGTGCCAGCTGCTCCTCCAGCTGCTGCATGGGTGGCAGATAGTTCATCTGGGGCTGAGCGGCGGGCGGGGCAAAGTTGGCAAACGATTGCTCCTGCGGCAGCGCTTGGTAGATATGCGACGGTGCACTATGCACTGCGAGAGGGAAAGGGAGAGGGAGATGGAGAGATGAACTAGATGAAGTGCACCGCCGACTCTCAGAGTCACTCACCATTCAATGGCAACGCACGCTGGCTCTGCTGCTGCGGTAATCCATAGTAGGGCGATGGGGGCTCAGGACGTGCCTGGACAGCGCCCAGCAGGGCGACACAGCCAACGAAGAGCGAGAAGGCGCGCATGGCAAACACTTTGAGTCTTTGGGTCTCTTTCACACACACGTAATCCTTGAATTGTTAAACTGTTCGGTGATCGACTGGACAGTTTCTGCTTTGGCTTGCTGCTAGTGGTTCGATTGGAAAGCGCAAATCTCAACTGATGCCCCACTGAACTCGGCGTCGAGCATTTATATGATTCGATTGGGAGAGCGCAGTGGAGAAGCAGCCAGCAAAAGCAAAAGCAAAGACAGCAACAGCAACAGCAACACGCTGAGCAGCTGAACTGGCCAAAATCTCATTACAAAAGGCCACAGCCGAAAATGAATTTAATTAAACATCAAAAGCCACTAGCACATACGCACGCACACGCACACCAACAGACACACACACACACACACACAGACATGCACTTGCGCGCAGAGAGCGCACTGCCTAAAAGAGCTCGAAACTGGGCAGGAGCTTAGCTCTCGAGCTACCAGTGCTGCCCGCTTGTCTTTTGATGTCTCCAAGCGAGAAATTTGTACCGAGCTGCAACAAAATAACTGGAAAAGTACATTTATTTACCGCTAATCGAATGACTGTGCGTGTGTGTGTGTGTGTGTTGCCAGGGTGGCCTCTTGGACGTGGCCTGGGGCCTGTCGGCGTGGCAACGACACCAGCAGCTACAGCTCCCACCAGCCTGAGACTCTGGCTTTGAGGTCATTTAAAAACGTGCAACTTTTTTTGCCACATACACTGAGCGAGCATTTATTAAGGAATTTTGTACTTAAAATGAGATGCAACTTAAAAAAATATAAAAAAAAAAAAAAATAAAAAAATAAAAAATTGTAAATTGTATATTTAATGCAGGCACACCTGGAAGTTTTTGTTTCAAAGCAGAGTTTCAAGCATAAATTTAACACTTTTTTTTATTTTATAAATTGGATAAACTTAAATATTGAACAATTTTGTTAACCAAAAATCATGTATAAAGTGTGTATATAAAATAAGACAATAAAATATTCCTAATAAAAAATTTTTTATCAAAAAAACATTTTTTTATTATTTATTAATATTTTTAAATATATTTGTATTCAAATTAAATTACTTGTAACTAATTTTGCGTCTCCCATATTATTACTCATACAAATAATTATATTGTACAAAATTTTATTTAGAGAAATACTCATTATTATTTATTAAAATTTATATTAAACATTTTTTTTTTTTCACTTTTATTATTTCTAAAATGGATGATTAAAGTAATTGTCATATAA